TGATGGCCGGCGGCGAGAGCACCGACTTCGTGCAGATCGCTGGCGGCAACCAGGTCAAGTTGCCCAGGTTGAGGGAGATCCGTTCTTGGTTTGACAACACAAGGCAGATGAGCTGGACGGCAATGGCCACTCTCAAGAATTTGACGAAGAAGGAGAGGGCAAAGCTTTGCCCCCCGCCCGCACAACCGATTCACAAGATCGAGATCCTTCTCTGGGCGATGGAGCAGGCCAATTCGTCCAGCGAGTGGACCAGGCGGAGGTGGTGGGCGTTCAGATCCAGGGTAGAGCATCCACTGGATCAGGAACCCACCGTGCACGAGTTGCCGTTGTAGATTGTGCAGCCTCCAACCGAGTCACCGGAGACTCCGAAGCGCAAGATGAGGAGGACAGTGGTCGCGACCTCGCTTCCCCGCCATTCTCCACGCTTCCCTCGCCGCTCTCCTCGTCTGAACGGCGGTGGTAGCTATGTTTAGAGTAAGCTTCCCCACTCATCATCTTCCTACTGCTCGTGCTTACATCGTGGTGATACTGATCGTAATAGCTCAGAGAGGGAATGCTAGATGGCATTTTAATCACAATGAATTGCATGAACATTTGAGTACATGGATTTGGAGGATGGATTATGATGTATGTGAACCCTAGGCATCATATGAACCCTAGGAAAAATTAGTAATGTTCTAGTGGTAGACACTGAAATATTTCGGCACACACCGGTAGGCACTGAAATATTTCGAAACTGCCCTAGGAAAAATTTGTAATGTTGTAGTGGTGGACACTGAAATATTTCGGTACACACGGGTAGGCACTGAAATATTTCGGTACTGCCCTAGGAAAAATTTATAATGTTGTAGCGGTAGACACTGAAATATTTCGGTACACACCGGTAGGCACTGAAATATTCGTTACTACAATTTCAGTACACACCAATGCACACTGAATTATTTCACTACTGCAGTTTCAGTACACACCGGTACACACTGAAATATTTCAGTACTGCAAATTCTATACAAAGTTGGCATTTTGTCATTTATGTGTGAATTAATCCATGCATCATATGGCCTAACTTTGTACATGAGTTTGGGTCAATTTCATGTCTATTTATTGTTAAAATTATTGTCATTCCATGAAACACAAGACAAGTCACTGACCCAAGCTTGCAAAGATGTCATATCAATGTTGCTGATATGAATATGCATGTTTTCACCAAGTCTTGTGTCTGAATTAAAACTGAGCATTTTTTCTTGATGGTATCTATGGATCTAGAACTCCTATGAATTTGCTCATGTTGGATGTTTTGTTCTCCATCATTTGTACTAGCATTCCGTGCGATTAGATGCCATGACAAGACCCCTCGCATATTTATTTTCTTGCCTCCAACATCACATGTGTGTTTTGCAAGAAAAAACCTGGAGTTCACCAGGCTGGCTGAAGTTGTTAGGCTGGGAGGCTGATGGTGCTGCTACTGCCTGAATCTTCTTCTTTCAGTTTTTGTTCGTCATTTCTCAAGCCGTTGGACTAGGGCTACTTCCCTATGTGTTGTTAATGTATTAAGTAGTTCCTTCGAATTTGTAGTATTAGTTAGTTTGAATGTGGAAGTACCTTAATTTTTAGGAACGAAATGTTGCTATGTATGACCAAGGGTTTCATACCTTAATCTTTGGATATTTAATTATGTGAACTGTTGGATGTGGCGCACAACGAAACGCCTCTACCATTGATACTAGTTCAACATGTCGGTCCAATTAGAGACCAGCCACTACCATATAGAACAGTTAGCATTTCATACTACAACCTGGCACGTACAAAACATCACACAGTGGAAGCACATCCCTAAGCACCTTGCATTGTACAAGGTCTTAGAGACAAGCCTCTACCATATATAACAGTTACCATGTCACACTACAGCCTATAAAACATCACATAGTGGAATAATCACAGCTAGTAGAGCATTAGTTACCAGTTAATAATAGTTGCAATCCATCACAAGCAATAGTACCTAGATATGAGTAGATATAGGCACGGTAATACACGACAAGTACTCGCAAACAAGAGCTAACATAACAAGTTCATTTCACATTGATACATGGCCCACCCCAGTTCTAAATGAGGTGGATGATGATCATCATCCTCAAGTCATGGCGACGGGTGTTCGCAACAGTGAGTAGGATGGCCTGTCCTACCCGAAGATTCTTGGCACGAAGGAACTTCTTCCACCCTGCCCTGCTCTAGACAGTGCAACCGTCCGTGTCCACTGCATAGGCACAGCTGGTGATGGAGCCCGTTCTGGTAAGGCGTAGTCCAGCAGCCATGCCTTCTTCGTCTGGGTCGATGGCACAACTATCAAGTAACCTCTTAGGTAATTTCTGAAAACAGTTGACATGATATATGATCATGTCACGTGCAATTATCATCAAAGCATACACTTCAAGACACATATATCATTGGATTCAACACTGAGCATATATATCATCACATCACTACACTATACGCCAAGCATTAAATTACTACAGTAATTAGGCATATCATTAGATTACTTCGTACACTAAGCATATCATCGCATATTACTACACTACATGCATGTCATAAAATTCTTCACTAAATGAATTCTAAACTAGGCCTCTCATCACAGTACTACAACATGCATATCATATGAACTACTACACTAACTAAGCATGCATATCATGTAATTACCACACTAAGTAACATACCGATATGCCGTTTAACATTCATCCTTGTGAGGCGGGTCACGAATGGCTTCCCTAGGTAGTCTTCACGTAGCGGAAGCATGTCCCAGAGGTTGCTGATTTCCTCGTCGCCCAGTCTGAGTCCTTGGGCATACAGGTATTCAACAAGTGAGTTCTCATCATCATCTGAATCGCCATCATCTGAATCAGCACCATCTTCCTCCTCATGAACTTCATCCTCACTATCCGGAATCAAATTTAGATAGATAACAGAAATCCTGGGCCTATCTCTTCTGAAGGAGAAGCTGATCAATTCACCCCCACTAAGACGCATGCGGGCGATGAAACAATCCCAATCATCTCCTCCTATCTGGATTATCTTTTGCCCCTTCTCGACCTGCATAGTGTATGGGCCCCCAAGAGCGTCGAAGGTCATGGTGTCTGCGACAAGCTCATTGAATGCCAATCTCACATTGCATGGTACGATCTGTGTAAGATAAAAACAAATAACAGACACAATACATTAGTGGAAATAGCAAAAAAACAAAAAGAATGTACTGTCAGAAGGTTCATATAAATTGTTACCGCTGCAAAAACAAAAGAAGGCTGGAAGTAGATGGCAAACAGCGTGGCAGTAGAAAGGCTGGTCCGGCACCGTGAGTTGCAGCGTCCACATTGTGCTTCCTCCATTCTACACAGAACATGTTGAACTCTAAGTTGAATTGTACATAGTACAATACAAAGATCATACATATAATAAATCATAGTGATAACCTATGCTGGCAATGGCCAATCAATCTATTTTCTATCATCTACATAATAAAGCAATGCCAATGACAATGGCAATGCCCGTCTCATCTAAACCTGGGAATAGTTCGGCATCCAAACTAAAACCAGTCCAATCCACGGCACACATCAAAACCAAACCAATCCAGATATTTCCATTTAGAATCTAGACCAAACTGAACTATACATGCTCGTCATCCAACCCAGTCCAAACCGTTTTCAACTTTTGGATTGAATCCAAAGGTTCAAACCATGGACAAAGCCATATGCGAGGGCACGTCATGAATCTAGATCAGACATGGTGTCAAATCTCGAGAGAGCCGACGAGCCCCGGCCGGCAACAACGGCTCTTGGATTTGAAGCGGTAGTAGGTGGTAGTGGCGGCTCAAACTAATTGATTGATTTGGTCTCAAACCATAGAAACCAAATTAAGATCCAATCCAAAAAATAAGTTTCAGTCCAAACCAATCGGCTTAGATCCGCCTCCGTAGGGAGACGCTGTTGGGGAAGGGAAGAAGAGGGGAGATCTCACGTACTTGCCGGAGTTGGCGGCGGCCGCGCACCGGCAGCAAAGAGAGGGGTCGTCGGGAGATGGCGGCGGCGGCGGCGCTGGTCAACAAGGGGAGAAAGAAAGATGTGGAGTGGTCGAGACAGGGAGAAAGAAAAAT